GACTCTACACCTGCAGTGCATGCCTGTTCTGCAGGCTCCTGTATGTCATGCTGTAATACAAATGCAGATGGGTTTGTTGTTTGTTGCTCCGTATTACATGCTGATTTCTTACCCGACGTATGCCATGTTTCGACTCCCACACAAAACATTTCCACACTGAAATAAATGGTTTATGTTCCATCATTCCGTCTAGAAGGGTCTACCTTACTGTCTTTATCTTCACAAATGCTGAGGTTAACCGCGTCCTTAATTTTTAGATCTGTTTCGAGCTTTGCGTAGCCACGGTTGTTTGTACAAACCGACAGCGGATTCACTTATAAATAATGAGTCAAATCGATGGCTGTCATACAAGCAACATTGGAACAGCCTGTAGTTACCATAAGAACGATAACGATTTGTGCCCCACAGTCAGTATGGCATTTGATGACCCTGTCAGGAGTAACGTTCGGTTACTCAAGATAACAATGCCGTTGGAATTATTGAGATGCACAAACTCTCTAGCGTTCAGGAGGGCAATGTAGATTTTAACTCTGCAACCATTTCGCCTGAAAAAATTAAGCAAAATAAGGGTAACGGAATCGAGTGAGCAATTAACAGCTTAAAGCTGGTACGTTTTATGTGTTTGTGGTTCTACCGTTCTGATTCTGTGGGATACATGAGTTCGTCGTTTCTATTCTGAAAGAGATATACGCATGAACCATGTCTGCTGTCAAGGTCAAAGGAATGCCGTTTGAACGGTTTCCATAAGCTGTGGAGATCGCTGTGCAACATTGTTCCCTACCTTCTGCTCTGAAATAGTGCTAACTGTGGAAAGGGCAGGGTCTCGTTACAGATGGAAGGCAAGTTTATCACATTCAGCTATATGTCTTACTGATCTGTAGTACTCAGATGATATTGTCCTGATGAGTAGTACGGGAAGCAAGCTTCGTCATCTGACGGATTGCCTATGCAACACAACTATGACAGCCCACCTCTTTCTAAACGCCCGAAAGTGAAATTTTATGAAAATCCCATCCGGCACAGCTGATTTACAAGGGGAACCGGGGGGGGGTGGGTGAATTTAAGCATGTCGACTGCAACATCTCTAGCGACGGCACTGCTCAGCCAGATCGCTAGCCTCAAGTGCTTTTGGAAACCTGTTCTGTATTTGGTCTGAGAAAGGAATACCTCTTCTCACAAAAATCCATCTGTACCTCGCCTCTGTTAGGAGGTACACATGTACGGCATAGAGACAATCGATGTAACCAAGAATCAAAAATGACGGTTTAACTGTTTATGCAAGCGTTGGCTTCGATGCAAGATTTTGGCCAGAGCACCGAAAGAATGATTCGCTTCCGAACAAGGGTGATTTCTGTAGGTGTGCGGATAAGCAAAAGGTGGTTAACCCACTTAGACAAATCGATTGATCCCATTTATTCCATTTCACGAGTTTCTCATTTTGGTGTCAAAACAGTCAACATCGACATGGAGACCAGAAAGAAACATGGAAGAATAAGGTAGAGACACATCTGCTTTAGGAAAGTAATATTGCCTTCTGTGATGTTGTCACCGATATCTTAGAGAAATAGTGTTCAGAAGCTGTGGACACACAAAACATAACACCACAGACGTTCTGCTTAAGTAAATCGCTCAAATTAATTATCTCAGCAAATAGAAATATGGTTAACAGCATATGACCAAAGAATAGATCTTTCATTTAGCACAGATATATTAATAATTTATCTGTTTTAGTACATATATAACGTACCTCACACGTCACAGAATTACATGTCATATTTGTATATAACAAACTTACTCTGCGATGGCATCGCGTAGGATCTGTGCCATTTCGTTGAATTTCCTATGTACTGTACAATGCCAGTTCATCTACACAACTATCCAATTACATGCATAAATAATTAATATTTGTTTGTACCCATCTTTCGATTTCTTCGTGTTACATAACTTTTTGCTTGCTTACGTTGTCAATATTCTATCAAAATGAAAAATTTCAGAGATTTGTATTATTACATTACGATTCATAGCAAATTAATAGAGTATAAAAATAATCAATCATATTTTCATAAATCATTACCACAATTCCTGTCAAAAGCATTCCGACGGAGAGGAGAATGCGAGGTTCGACCCTATCGCCAATCATGCCACTGAGAAACAGACCCTGAAATACGTCTTCTGCAGAGAACAGTTGCTAGTCCTGATGACGTTGCATACCACCGCATAGGAAAACATGAACACCGAATCGATCACCCCGAGAAATTTCTCTGCTTCTTTCTCATCATCGAACAGGTTGTGCTTGTTCCATGTCTAAAGTAGCGAATATATAAAAGTACGTGAAGTTCGACAAGTGAAAAAGTACAGCTTTAAAAGGGGAGGGAGCTTATGCCATCAGTCAGAAATGGTTTATTTTATCGACAGCAGCTATGCGACATGCATAACGTGGTCTTCTGTTTCTTTCCTAGACAAATGTTGTCATTTATCAACCTCGGAAAGAAGAAAGGCAAGTGATCTTGATCAGGTCTCGATTCTAAGGCTTCTGGGTTCTTGGCCGACGCTAAACCGAATAAACAACCCTACCCCCCTGAACAGGAATTAACCCATGACAGTAATTTGCCTATACTATATTTGCTTATCTCTGTAACAATCTGAACTTGTTCGCTGATCACGTCTGATTTTCAATTTTCAAATTCGTATAGCTTAGAAAACAATTCACCCATCATGCCTAAATTCCATAATA